TACCACCAAGAGATGGTGTTTTCATAGGTCCAGCAAGGTCGGTGTGAACGAGTTCAAGCGGAGACTGTGTAGCACGGGTCGAGGGTAAATGATTTGGGGTACGGGTTTGCTTGACAGCAACACAGCTAACACATGTAGGGTTAGTGTGGCTTCCATCGATAGTAATTTCTGGATGGTCTCGGGCAAGTCTTTTGACATTATCGAAGCTGATATGCCCAAGGCAGCGATGCCAGTTGACAAGGGTTCCATGCTTGCTGGTCACACTGGCTGGATTGGCTTCAGTATCAGTGGTCTGGAGGATGTAGGCATTTTGCTCAAGCCTAGCAATACCGAAGAGCTGCTTTCCATGCCTAATACTAACAGTATTATTGGCAAAGCTGACCACCCCACCAGCTGCCTGAATGCAGCGAACAGACACAAGTCCACTGTTACCCATCTCGGCAACAAACAAAACCTTCTTCAGTACCACCAAGTTTGTTTTTCCATTGACCACAAGACTAAGTGGTATATCACCTTCCCCCTCAGCTATCATACTAGATCCATTTGCGATGTGGATGGGGATGCGGACGGGGGTCATGCTCTGAAACTGGGTATGGTTGGAGGTTATATGGTGAGTGGCCCCAGAATCTAACACCCACTTCGATCCAGAGGCCTTAGCTGATTTTTCATCCATCGCAGTCCATGTCCTAGGGGATCCATTTCCATTAGCGGTAGCAGTATTGGCACTCTGGCTCTGCCTAACAGGCAATACTCTTCAGGGACCACCTCTTCCCCGACCAAAACCACGAAGACTAGTCCCAGGTGGGGGTCTCCTTGCCTGCTGCTTTGCCGGGCACTTATTTGCCCAATGGCCTTTTACCTTGCAGAAGAAACAGCTATCCCTGTCACTATTGGAGCTGGCCCGCTGTTCTTTTCCTCTACTGAATCCACCTCTGGTACCTCTTCCCCGGCCAGCAAAGAAGGCATTGGTACCCTCCTGGTCACTACCAGGGGCACCCACACCTCTGGTCAACTGTTGGTGTTCCAGGATAAGGCGGTCGCATATGGTATCGTATTTGGTGTCATCATAATCGGCATTGTTCCACACTGAGGTACAAAAGGGGTGGTAGGAGGTGGGCAGCTTCGATAGTAGCAGGTACTTTTTGTCTTTCTCATCTTGAGATTCACCGGCAGCAGCTAACTGGTGGAACAGTTTCTCTGGACTGGAAATATAGTCAACAAGGTTATCATTCCGATACTCTACCTTGGACAACTCCTCGGGAAGGAACCAAATCCTAGCCTGGTCCTTGCCGGCATAGTGCCTTTCCAGCTTTGTCCACAGCTCTTTGGAATCTCGCTCCTCAGCATACAGCTCTTGGTGAGCACTATCCAAAACCCTGCCCAGCATACCCCGGGCCTTACTGGCTTTCTGCTCCCATAGAGTCCTGGCCTCACCAGACTCTGCCGGGGCCTCAGAGGTCCCAGCGACAATAGGCCAATACCCCTTCTCAGCGAGGATATCCACCACAGCCAGTCTCCACTCCCAGTAATTTACTGCCTTAGAGAGGGGCTTAATCCCCAGAGAGGCGAGAATATTCACCTCCTGACCTGCCTTCGACATTCTGACTGTAGCGGTAGTGAGGTGTGGGTGGAGCAGGTAATTCTAGTGCTGACCGAGGTGCAACTAGTGCTTACAGGGCACAACTAGTGCTGACAGGGCGCAACCGTAATGAGCGATGCGCAACAGCCACAAAGGACTTCGGTAGGGGGTGGGATGTGAAGAACTGGAGCGGGATGTGCAGAGCGGGCACAGGGGTTCTGGAGGCATTCGTATTCGCTAGTGGATACCTGATGGTGACTAGGCAATCGTGTAGCGCAAGGCCGGGCTCATAACCTTTTGAACGAGCTGTGGAACCGGCGGTCGCAACGGCGAACGAACAGGGATCTATCGCAACTAGCCAATCGGAAGCCCGCCGAGTGACAAGCTATGAAACGAAATGCTAAGCTTAAGCACTCAAAAGAGGATCGCCCAAGGCAAAGAAAACTTTTCACTTTCACTCTCTCCCGCTCCCTAACTCTCGCATACTTTTCTAACTAACGGTGAACATAGGAGACTATATCAACCATGGGCGACACCCGAGAAAACCACAGACTCCCCTCACCCCGCTCAGGTAAGTCCTCCACTTCCCTCTCTCAGGCAAACACGCAAACTAACAAAGGGAAGACAAACTCGCGTCTCCCCCCTCCCACAGGTAAGTTCCCTTATCCTCCAAGCAAACAAGAAAGAACTAACAAAGGAAAGACATAACTTGCGGTTCCGCCGCGTGCCATTCTGTGGTGCTTTCCCGCCGTGCCTTTCCTGCGCTCCTTCTGCGGTCCTCCACCGTGCTCCTCTGACGCTCTTCCGGCGCTTTTCCTGCGGTCCTTCACCACGCGCTCTTCCAGCGCTCTTCCTGCGGTCCTTCACTGCGCGCTCTTCCTGCAGTCCTCTGCCGCACTCCTTCCTGCGGTTCTCTGCTACGCTCTTGCTTCCGCCTTTCCTCCACGCTCTCCTGCGCTCCCCCGTGCTCCACCGTGCGCTCTCTCCTGTGCGCTGTCCTAGCACTCTGCCGTGTGCTTCCGAAGTACACTACTGAAAAACTAACAAACAAGCAAACGAGCAAACCAATACCAGAAGGGAAGGAAAGGAAGGGAACTGGGGGGGGGGAATAGGAAATGGAAATGGGGAGAAGAGGAAGGGGAAGATACCGGGCAGGTGTGGGGAGCAGCTTGGATTTCCAACAAAGTCATGTTAGTCTATAAAGTAATATTGAGCGGGCAGGCACTATAGAGGAGTGCCCAGGTTGCAAGCTGGCAAGCAACCAGGAGTTGTGATGCTTAGTCACAACCTTGGCATGAGTAGGAGTTTGTCCAAGTTTGGGCTTTTGCTATGCACCAGGTGAGTAGTATTATATGGTCGTATTTCTTCTTAGGTAGGAGGTTTGGATGTCTATATGATATCGTTTGAGGTATCTGCTGTTCTGTAGCAAATGCTGCAGATGTTTGGGTTTTTCTGGAGATCTGCACAGATTCCAGGATTGTTCCTGAGTAAGAGATTGAGGAAGCTCAGAGGCGGTGTGGAGTAGGGTCCTGTGGTCCAATGTATTACAATAACTAAATTACCAAAGTACTTTTTGTTGAATGCCTGATTGGTTTGATTATTCTTCTACTGGAGATTTATAGGATACTCAAGGGAAAAGTCGGGTATGATGCAAAGCATCTAAAGGCGAGGCCTCCAATGAAACAGGAACTACAGTGAGACCCGTTGCAACCGATCCGGGTAATGACATGAGATGCCAAGTTCTATACCCTAAACAAAGGATAGAAATTAGGTATAAGGGTAGGAACTCCTTAACCAGTATTAAATTTAACTGGTTAACCTAAAATAACTGTTCCATAACCTTATACTAACCTTTTGTCTTCAGACCATGGTTTTTATTATTTTACCCTACCCATATCCACTCCACAGTATATTTCAGCACAGCAGTGTGTAGATTGTATCACTTGTTTTACTCTCACCAAAATTTTCACTTTTTTATCTTTAACTATCATACTTTTGCTGACAGCCTTTTATTTGAAAAGAAAAACCGCTACCCTGTTCTCCATGGAATTTGCTTTAACCTAGCAGTTTTTCTTTTGCAAAATTTCATGTTGTGGTTGACTAGTTAGGATTCGCATTTGGCCTATTTGGAGGACCCGGTTTGGGTCCATTTGCACTATAGTACGTTAGGGTATTCAACAGGCAGGTTTGGCTAATTGGTGGGCTTTTAGTGGCTGAGAGATGGAAACAAAGGCAAAGAGGGAAGGTTGGGAGGGATGTACAGCCACTCGCCAGAAGTGTTCGTGAAACTTGTCTTATGTTACTAAGCTGCCTTGCTAGAATGCTATTTTAGACGGTTGATTGTAATCATGACTGTGTTTTATACCCCATAATAAGACTACCGACACTAGCTCCTAATTAATCACTTAGTAATCGTTAATAGAGCCCTGAATACAAAGCCAGTAGTGAAAAAAACGTTGGAGATGCTGGCGCAAGATAGTGAGTTGGCAGTTGTAGCACTTTCAGGAAGGCTAGCGATAGTTTTTTTTTTGCGCTTGGAATCTCTCATTATTTACATAGAGGTTTTGCTACATATGAATCTCTTACTCTGTAGGCACGTGTAGAGAAGCGGCAACATAGCAGAACTAAGGGGAATGTGGTGATCCATGAAAGAATCCGGATGCTTCATTATGTTGTATTGATCCTCTTGTTTATCTGGCTAGTTTAGTGAGGAAGTTGAAATTGGGAACGAAGCCGACGACCACACCTTTCCCATCACTCCCAGAGTTAATCTATTGGCCAGATCCTCTTCTATTCTCCTCGCTTTTATGCCTGTGGTATTTATCAGACACCTCACTATGCAGAAGGGACCTCGGGGGGAATTCTAGAGAGAAATAACTAACATGGGAGTTGTAGTCGAATTTTCTATCGCATCCCGAACATTACCCCAGTTGCCCAAGTCCTGAAATTTCCAAGGACAATGGAAATCGCCAAGCGCTTGGTGGTCGCCTGTGCATGCTTATTATCATACCAGATAACATTCGTCATTTCGGAAGTAAGCCGAGGCTATGCATGGCATTAACTGATACTCTCCTTTTCTCCTTTATCCCCATTTACAGTTGCCATTATTACCTTGCTGATTAGGTGCTGATAGTGTGCAACGGAACCTTAATATTGTCCCACTATCTGGGCCCCTCTTGCTCGGTCGCAATTAAACAGGTCTCAGATCACGAGAATTCTATCGAGTAGCTGTACTATCGACTAAACTAGAGAAGCCGCATTATTTCTACCAAGGTATGCTCGGAGGTAATCTGAGTCCACCGAATTTCATTACCGTCAGTACCATCATCGATTAGTAGCACTATGTGTAACAAATCACCATGGGTATTTATTCTGTGCTCATGATAAGTACAAGCTACTCTTCCTAGAAGAACTATAAAATAAGGCCTCAACCAACACTTCTTTTTCGACTAGATACCATCTCACACCTTCACATTGAATCCAACAATCACTCACCCACTCAAACATTCTTTCTCTACGACTCACTCCGGCCTCCAGCTCCACCAGAGAACCAACTGACTCAAAATGAAGTCCAGCATCATCTCTACCGCACTGGCCGCCCTCATGGCCACCTTCACCACCACCATGGCCGCTCCAGCCCCTACCAATTCCACCGACCCAATCCGAGGTGATCCTTCCTTCAAGCTAAGGGCCGACTCTAGTTCCCCCGCTGGCCTCGTGGGACGCACCGTAGCTTGGGACGGGGCCTTAGACGGTAGTCTGGGGTTCTTCAACGACGGAGCCGAAGAACTAGGCGCCTTCATCCAGTGCAACGCAAAGGAAGGCATAGCCTTCTACGCTCATGACACCGCACTCCGGGTATACCTCCGCCCGACGCATGGAACTCCCGCGTTCTTTTCAAAGTTGGGGGACCCAGCCAATGATGCTGCACCTGCCCTGACTTTGTCGACGAATTTCACCGTGAGTGAGCAGGCAGGTGGGTCCGGGGAGGTTAATTATGCCTTTGGGTATGGTGGTAATGTCGGGGGTTGGTCGGCTTGTGGGGGTCCTGAGGAGTACACACTTTATTAGTAGGTTTTCCCGTCCCTTTCTCTTTTTGTGGGGTGGAGGGGGGTTCCGTATTGATTTTTTGGGGTTTTAGTGGCACTGTGGGAACTCCCAAATCCGGGTGCACCGCCAACTTTGGGCTCGATTTGTTCTATGAATGAGCTGAAAGCTATGGGTGATAGAGAGTGATCGTGATGATGGGTTAAGGTGTCTGCGATTGGGCGAGAAATGGACAGTGGGGTAATGAAAAGTGATGGATATACACCAGGTTGTGAAGATGTGCAGATGGAGGGGGCGAAAGATTGAGTTGTGAATGGATGGATGAATATGCTAGCTCTCTCTATTGTTTTTTGTGCTGATCCGGGTCATGGACTATAATACTCCTTTGTTTACTAAAATCCGATACTTGATTATTTTGCTCACGTCTACCTGTCACTTGCCACATTTGATTCACCACTTTGGGCCTACCCCCCTGGATCAATAGCTTATGAAAGTGCCCAGACATCCATTCTCCGTACATCCCTCCACTAAATAGTTCCTTATTAACAACCTCAGATATTTTCGATGGTTCCTGCCAAAGCTCGTCACTCACCACTCTTGAGGTACCCATGAAACCCTCGTGGTGGCAGTACATCACATTCCGCCATCTCTAGTATCATTCCCGGTCGTCCCGTGTCCGTAGACAAAACCGGGACGTTGTGGACCTCTAAATCTCATCCTTAACTTAACCAAGTACTCTCTACGGCTTGCAAGTTTCTGAGTGGTTTTCCAGCATTGTGCAAGGACTAACCCTTGCCGATGAGATAGGGGCCGAATCTTTCGTACTTCGGCTCCATTATTTCTGTTTCTCTTTCGATCCCCCCCCGTTGTTTAACAACGACCAAAGAGGCACTTCAGAATATACATTATAATTCATTCTCAGTTGTGCCTTTCTTGGCCCGACAGGGTTAGGGATACGCACCCACCCACCCAACCGCTGCACCTGCAAAGAAATTACTGCTTCAGTGGAGATGTATGACGGTAGCAAGGGCGATATGTATATCGGAATACCAGTATCGCGAACTTGATCTAATCCATGCCCCCTTTTATCCTCACCAGGTAGCAGTTGATAGAGCCTCACTGTGTTTCAGAGAGACGGATGGCGGTTTGTCCTAGTGGAAAGGAGGTGGATGGAAAGGCAATTGGAAGGTATGATACCATTTGGATTCGGCCTTTGCGCGGCGGCTGTGCTCGGTTGTGGGGGTGTAATCGGTCGGTGATCGTTTTTTTCCTCTCTTCAATTATTTAATCTTTGAAAGCTTGGTTATGAGCAATGAAGGATTTCTCTTTGGGACTGGTGTAGCCGGCGGCTCGTAAGTGAGTGACACAATATGATGTTGTATGATTTGCGGAGCAGAAGTGCAGACCGGGGTTAGCCTAAGCTTACTAGTGCACACATCTATTTCCTCTTGCACTAGAGGATAAAAGGCAAATGTATGGTCATGAGAAAAGTTGGATGTAGTATGTCGGATGCCCAACGATGGTATAGCTCCATCGTAATATGGTTGCGTCGTTCGTGAGCTTGTACAATATCACACCTATGATGAATCTATTCTAGTAGGGTTACCTGCGAGTCTGGGTCAAGGCAACGTCCAAGAAGCGTTCTGAGCGGTCTGGTTCGCCCCCCATTGAACCGAAAGAGGATGGACCCGCCGGGCCATATTGCGTCTCTAGATCCATATACGGTATGGGAGGGAAAGGTTTCCTTACAACTTATCATACGTAAGAAAGACCGGACGCCATATAATACAAGTCTTGGGGGAGGGTGTGGTACAATATCCAACACGTGTCATCACTCATTGACTCCCCTCAGGCTGTGTTCGTTGTACGGAGGCATACAGCACCTATGTTTTGTACGTTCCACAGGGGCTAAGGGCACCAAAGCTGCCTTGTGGAACCTATGATACAAAACTTAGGCGCTGTACTTGTACCTCCGTAGGGCTGCACGGGATTGTGTATAGTACCCCCCCCCCCCCCCTGCAACCCCGCACTACCCCCATGGTTTCCCATTACCCCCGGGATGCCCGGATACAACTTATACCGTGGTCCTCTCCACATTATCCTCACCCGCATTTTCCCTGTGCATTCGCTGTGCTCTGTGATATTCCGAAGCCCCCACCGGTCTTAAGCGGCTCTAGGATGCTATGTACCGCTTAGGGCTAAATACTCATATCGACGCAGAAGTTCTCCACGGCCACTTCAACAAGAACTGAACCATTCCGCCACCTCTGGTCCTGTTCTCTTTGGCGGTAGGTGGCGTCCGCTAACCAAAGGTTGCCTTCCACCCCTAGTTGCTTTTCTGCCATGGCTGCCTGGGTACGATTCTCCGGTCCCCGGGAATTATTGACAAAACGGCGGCAACGGTAGCCCCTCCGGGGTCGGCGCTTTGCGCACCTAATATTGTGGAGAAGTTATTATGGCCATCGGTCTAAACCAGGATCCCCTAGCCTGAACGAAGCAGGCTACGCCTGATGTGGTGGGTGTCAGACAGGTGGTTGGCCAATAAAATGCCGGCATGTCAAGTTTTTGAAACCCCCAAGACCCTGGGCCCAATCCGGCCAGAGATGGTATCGGAGGACATTCGGTGAAGTTGGGCACGGACACCTGAGCAGATTCAACGAACGATTGCCCCCCGGGTGGGGGCGAAAGAATGAGCGGCATGCCAGAAAAGGTATTGGAGATGTTGGCAAAACGATCAACCCGACACTCTAGGGCTTAAGTATTTGCTGACCGATGCTGCCTAGCTTTCTACTGGCTTCACCTAACACTGGGGTGGTCTCTCCGGGAAGGAAGAGGAAGGAGATGACAAAGGGCCGGGGTGCTGATGAGGCACACATTGCAACACTCGAAAGAATAAATGCGCAAAAGGGGATTGAGTCATTTCTAGGGATGGAGGCTCTTTTCTGGGTTTCTGGCTCGGAAAAGCCATTTCAGCGGGGTGAGCTGCCACGCGTCCGGGGTAGGAACGGGACCTCCGATCTAGACACTGACAATGCCCCTTCTATGCGGAGACTACTAGGGTGCTCTCTTGTATGGGCCGTATTTTTATTCATTCATCCTTACCGGCGGTCAGTCCAGTGCATTTTGCTCTCCGACGACATCTCCACATAGACACCTCTCTTCCTCCGAATTCCCATACGGCGATTGCCGACGTTATCTTCACTTGCCCAGACTCTAAGTGTGTCGGGCGCCTTTCGCCTCAGCTCCTCGGCCTCTCCGCAACTCCCTCTCTCAAATACCTGCATGCCTCTCGATACTCGTGCTGGGGAACACGTGCTAGTGTGAGGCTGCTGAAGTTGTGGCGACACTGCAATAGGACATGTTATTGCACAAAGCAAACTGTTAAAGTCCACATTTCGGTAGGGAAGATAACCTAGCGGGATTTGGGGGGATCCACAGCACAAAATTTCTCAGGCGGTAGATAAATTAGCTGTTTTATTGGGGTTCGGGAAATGGAGTCTCTGCGTAACTAATATCAGAAGTACTCGTTCTTGGGGTGCACTATCGAGAGGCAGCATTTGGTGACCCTCCAGATGCTAATGCCGCCATGATATAACGGCACAATGTTGAACCCAACACAACGAAAGCCATAAGGCCAAAAAGCCCTCGCGTGGATTATGGTGTAATGCATGGGCATGAGGGAGCTGTGGAGTCACTGTTGGCCCCGGTTAGGCGATCCACCACTGTGATTGGTTGCCGGGTGTGGTCATGAGGGAGTCGCGAGGACACCACTGCAACCAGAGGACATCAATCCCGACATTACAGACGCTTGGTGCGCAAAACCTCCCGCGGTCCACCGAGAATCGGTGTCAGGGTGTTATAATGATCCTATTGGGGAGGGGCCATTCCAATCCCAAATTTACTAGCCTAAGCGGCGAAACCGCACTTTCCACATCTCTATGGGATCAGTAAGGAGTTCTGGGGCTGCCAGCGGAACATAATGACCTCGGTCCTGAAGCGACACACCCTAACTTAAAGAATTAAACCAAGCGCTTTTCAGCCGAGCCATCCGAGCTACTCGAGCGACCCTCAATCCACACCTTCCTTCCCAGATCCGGCCAAGTGTCCCATCTTGAACAGGATTATCACGGAGTATTGGAGGAATAGAGCACCTAGTGATTGAACATGGAAATGTGAGACACGAAAGTGGGCTCTCACCCACCTACGAGGGCATTCATCATATTTTGCACCTTGTTTACACCTCCGAACCGAGTGGTTTCTAGGATACTATGATTAGGATACTAAGATGGGCCGAGGCCGGCAGATCATCACATCAACAGTCAATCCCATCCACAGAGAAATCCTTAGACTATCAGCCTTACCATTGCGATTGGGCGGGTGGGTTCCGAGATTTCTTTTTCTTGTATATTCGCCTTCAATTTATTCGGATTAGTTCCCCTCTTGCTAAACACTTCGAGACCGTGTTTCCGCCGCGGTGCACTTTGGAATTGTCTATGGTTGGCGATCTTGATCTACGGTCACAGAGCCTTTGTCCAGGTGAAGTTATTGGACAGTATCTTGACTGACTGCCATATCCTGCAAAGAACGCCATACCCGTGGAGGCCCTCCCACTGAGAGCTCTAATATTCTCTATTAGTACCGAGGGAGTGCGGGGGGGTTCCGGGATTCGTTGTGAAAAACATTTCTTCTCTAGTTTCTCTTTGTTCTAAAACCTTTTTCTTTTTATCCCCTCTATTCAATATATAAGACATGTGTGAGTTGTATGTTACCATGCCTTCCGCTCTTTATATTAAATTTTGATATATGGTTTAACCATGCTTTCAGGAAACCTATCTTTCTCATTTCCTTTGGTCAATTGTTCCATTTCTCTAGTAAAATGTGAATATACTAAGCCCCATCTCCCTCGTTCATTTCCTAAATAAATAACAACTTTATAGATATCTGCCGCCTAGGAGTGATTATAGGAGCATTTCGCTACGTCGATGTTCTTTATCATAGTCTTTTTCTGACCATCTAATAATCATACAGTAACCTACATGTTCGTTATGGTAACCTCTGCCTCATTTCACAGGCTATATGGTTATACCAAGTCACTTGTACAAGTCCATGTGTATTTCACTCGCAGTAATTCCACTTCTTTGCAGCTACCCTTTCCACCAATATCACCTCCTGCACAGGGCAGCCCACGTCTACCTCTTTTAATCTCACACAACTCGTGGGCTCAGTAGCTTGTTACCATTGATTTTACCGTAAAAGTGTCCCACTCCAAGAATTCATGCATGATCTATGATAGAGCAAATAAAATTAGATCAGCCCATACTGATAGCTAGGGTTTCGAATATATTACGAACAGCAAGTGCAGCAATGTCAGTCGGAAATCTTCATCGCGCACAATGCGATGCCTTCTGGAGTGATGGATTCCCTATTGGGCCGGCTAAGATTCGACCAATGAACGGAGAGAGTTAATATCTCTTGTGTAACCTATTCCCCGGTATTTTATGAACAGTTCGTCCTCCTAGACTCGTGCTCTGATATCCGAAAGGAAGAAGGGTGTTCTCGTGGACCTTCTATCGCCCTCCCTACTAGCCACCAACCCGTGAACCGCTGGGTAAACGTCTTTACCGAACCTTCTTTCCCTATGGCGATCCACTCAAGGATACAAATGTCGGGGCTATCAACGATAACGATCATCCAGAACTTTAAACCGCTCGAGCAGATAATGCTATATCCCGTCGTTTGGTTGCTCTCTATTTCCTATGATACAAAGACAACCCGCTGAGCCCACCTGTCTGGACTTTCATCCTGAATAGGGAGTTGAGGCTGGGCGTATCAGGATATCCAACTGTTGTATGCTAGTATAAGGCAACGGGGTAATTTCTGAGTAAGTTTGGATGCTCCGACCTGCGGCTCTTACCATCCATTCAATTCCCCTCCCTGCCGCGTGATCTTGGGCACCTGGACAGCTTATCCGGTAACTTGATCAGAAGTAGGATCCCCGATCCCCGGGTAGCCACCGGACCACAGCGGAGTATGGAGTGCACAAGGTTTTCTCCACCTATTCATAATCATTCTTCGCTCTCTCCATTCCTGGCCCCCTTGGCTCTGTTAAATCACGACAAAATCGGGCGCAATTTTCGACCGAACCGCTGGAGAAGCCTTGTGGTCAGGTCAGGACGGGATCAACTACGATTAATTTGACTTCAATTGACGATAGGATGGCGGGAAATTTAGTATTCGATAAACGCTATTCTGCCAAAGATCGATACCCCTGCTCTCTAATTGAGCCTCTACCACCTGAGCAAGAAACAGCGATGAGCCCTGCAGAGACCCTGCAACCACCGAGTGAGGTTCCCTGCGGGCTCCCATCGTTGCTAAGGCTACAATAACGTCACCTTCTGCAACCGCTCAGCTACAGCCTCAGAATCTGCCAATCGCCTAATCAGTCAGTCTCCCCCCACCGCTTCTCTCTCCACACCTTCTAAAGTAGGTGTTTTGCCCTACTGGCACGCAACATGCTGGAGCTTTGACACTGTCCAGCACAGGCTCCGATTGGGCAGGGTTAGGGCTACTCCGATACGCCCAGATAATAATTCTGTTTCGGACTAGCTCTCTTGCCGGTTTACCCTTAGGCGCCTCACAATGGTAGATAGGTAAAGTACATGTGTGCGGTCATAATCGTCTCCAGTGAGAAGCGCTCATTCCGAACCTTTTTTTTTTGTCGAAGCAAGTTAACGTGTTATTCCATGACCGACCAACGGGTACTTTTCACCACCATACTTGATTGAATGCACGCGTGAGCCGTCTCAAAGGCCACGGGGGGGAAGAGGGTTGGAGGTAGAGCTCTGAGTAAATGCATGTGTAACATGGAGGCGAATACCGATTGCGGGTCCTTTTTCATGATTCTACCAAACAGGATCTCTGGAGTACGACGACACGATATGCGGCGAACGTCCAATTCGAGGAAAGGAAGGAGGAAAAATAGATTGCCAGCGAAATGTTGCAGGGAAGGGGAAGGAAATGCAGTGGCCCAAATGTGAGGTGTGATGGGGAGGAAGATCGATGATAATAGCCTCGTTTTAGCTCGCCCCCCCCCCTCCCGACAGTGCAAAATCGAAAAGAAGGCTGAGAGTATAAGTATCGTAGTCTCGACCGTACCAGATCAGATAGATTTCGTCCCCCTACGTCAAAACAAGATCAGAAGAGCTCCTATTATTCTTAATTCACCCAACCGAAAACCTTCTCGAAAACCTTCCGCGCGCGAATAAAAAAAAGCAGGAAGGAAAAGAATAGCCAGTTCAAAATGTATCACATCGATGACAGAGCAATTGTCCCCACAAACTACCGGAACAGCAGGGTCCTCCCTGATAACTACTCGGTAGTCCACCAGAGCGGCCCGCGGGGAGCGCGATATGGGCAAGGAGGTACAATATACCACGATCAGCGACCGGGCGCAGCAATGTACCACCGTCAAACGATGTACAACCGAGACCCGGTAGTATATCACCAGGACGGCCGGACGACAAGATACTACGGCAATCGGGGCGCCATGTATCACACCTCCCAGGGTGGAAGATACAACGGCCAGGGAGCGCTGTATCATAGGAATAGCAGGGCGTATCCGAACGGGATGGGCCTGGATCCGTACACGAGGAGTAGTTATCACGAGCAGAGATACGTTGTTCCGGTTAAGACTCAGTTCGTCCCTCCGCAAATTGCCTTCCTTGCATCTGAAGTTGCTAATGGAGTGATGGTATAGACGGTACATCCGAGGCTACGACCCCCATGCCCGTTCCGACAGACGTTACGGCGGATATCGGGATACCTATCGAAGGGAGGTCGTAGGGGACCAATTTTGCTGTGTTATCACTTAAACCTCCCTCCCCTCCCTCACACTTCAATTGAGGAGCGAAGAAGAATTTCAAAATTTCAAGGACTTTGTATTATAGGGTTTCTTAGGGACGGCGTCGTGGTTTTTCTTTTTCCCCTCCCCCCCCCCTTCACTTTTTCGCAGTTCCTCTTTTATTCAAAAGGAAAAAAAAAAAGGAGGAAAAGTTCGCACTGGGACCCCTCTTTCGTTCTTTGAAATTTCCTAGCGGGTTGGTCTTGGTTCCTCGAGTGTATGATTTTTGCAGTCCGATATAACATGCGCTGTATATTCAGAAGGAAAAGATATATATATACTCCCTCCACTACGACGATCATATCCACCGCGGAAAATACAGTATCTAAAATGCTCAACTGTGCTCAACGACCGTGGTGGGGGCCCCTTGGGATATAGCATGATAGTGACAATACTTGTAATAACACGCTGATATAGCAAAGACCCGACCGACACTCCAAACCCGGAACACCACACAATCCCACAATCACACACACCACACGCCCCTTATCGTTCCCCGGCCTGCTACCTTCCACCCTACCGACTCTCCACTAGCCTAACCCGCGTGCTCTATGGCGGATAACTTATCATGGGCAAAGGCTATTCCCTCACCCGCACAATTCTAAATCCAACGACCGCAGAAGCATTAATTCGAACGAGCCACTTCTTGGATAATGATACGGTACTCGAGCACTCATTTTACCCTATTTGTTGTTTGTTTGGGACAGGCACCTACCAGCGGGTTTAAGTTAAGATGGTCAGTTGTGGTTGGAATAAAGTCGTTGATAAATTTAATATCTAACCCCAATCCCGGTACACCGGTACAAATACTGTACGATGTACCTGTACTGTACAGTACTCGAATAGTAAATTAACAGTAGCGGTTTTTACACCCGACCGGCAACAATTTTGGAAAGGAGCCTCCGCGCTTCCTAACATTGGTTTATTCCCGGGTGTTATCGCCTACGGCCTATTTACCGGTATCGCGGTAGCTTGAGTGGGTCGTGGCCGATCGGTGATAAAGCTGGGGGCAGGTACTGGTAGGGGTCGTTTGGTACTGTACGAGTACTGCACCGTACTGTAACGAGATAGAGGCCGGAACACACCAAAATAGTGGGTTTTCTAGCCGTTATCTCCATGTGAAAAAAAAGGCCCGTTCAGAGCCCAAGGAGTAAAAAAAAAAAACGTTTTTCTAACTTCTGTCGCATCATATTTTCCCCATAAAAACAAGAAAAAACGGGGGTCCGTTTGACAAGCCACAGAAAATGTCTCTTGGCTTTACCACCCAGTTACATGATATGATAGCAACTTCCGAGGTTAGGGTTGCCACAGAAAGCAGTCGAACGGGTCGAAAGCAGTCCTACATCTTAGGGCTAAGTGTTTTAACACTGACTTGTGGTACGTGACGTTTTGTGTTCTTAGAACCGTGAAATAATGAAGATTTCTGGCAAAAAATCAATACGGTTTTAGAAAAATGGCATTCGCACGGTAGCGTGCCAAACGGGGCCTTGCCTTGGAATGTCTGAAGCGTAATACGTATTTGTTCTAAGCTTTTGTTTCCGGCTGTTAACATAGAGTGGTGCACATAAACCAAGGAATATTTGTCGCAACTTGAATGTATATTTCCCCACAAAGGACCTAGTCTTGGCGGGCGATCTACGGTATCGTACAGTACGTACTTTGAAGGGAAGCACTTTCCAGCCGTGACTACTCCGGACTTTCCTATGATATCTAGGCGCGACAGCGGCAGACAACTTCCCTAATATTTCTCTGTTCTGTCCCCACCCGTAGTAGTCAGATAGTCGAGTGGTAGACTCGAAAACCCCCGATTTTGGCCTATTTTGACCCCCACCCGGTTATCAAACGGCCCCCACTCATGCCACAAGGCGAGTGATACTCTGTGTTTTTTCCGATCTGCCCGCTGCACCCCCCCGGCAGGGTATAGTAGAGCAGAACACATCTTCCCGGGAGCCACGAATCTAAACCGAAACTAGGCTACAGTTTCCGCCCTGACCTTCGTTACATCACAGATCCAGAGCTCAGCACCACTCCCCCACTATATCTCCCCTCGGAATCCTACAAAGCCGCTAGCTCTCTCTCTCTCTCTCTCTCGGCTTCGCTGCAAAGCTACACTCCGCACCTAAATGTCGATGAAGAAAAGATGGATATATGACAGATCTGTTAATGTGGATAGAAACGGATAGCCTGTCAAGCAGCGGAAAATGACTAAAAGAATATGTGAGAACTATGGTGGTTGAGGGATAAGAATGAGAGGTAAGGTAAACAACACAATTTCGTTCGCACCGCAACAAACCAATAGTAAAGACAGCGGTATAAGTAAAACATAAACAATGAATCCTGATCCTTCCATCGATCACCACACCTTTCACTATCTCTCCATGCAAACTGCTCTTTCCTCCATATGCTTCCAGCCATATGCTTCCATGATAACAAAGGAAAGACATGTCTAACGAAACTCTCCTATCAATCTCTGAACCTCCACACTATTCCATGAAACATCTAAACTTGCTGCCACACTACCGAACCTTCCACAATCAATCCCAATCCAGCCCCATCTATCCAGAACCTTCAACAAGATCCCACTGCTGCGCACAGATCCAAGAGTTTCCGATCCGGACTTTGCAGATGAACATTTTGACACAGTTGGCCAGGGTCAGTTGCTAATTGTGGCTGGTCCTGGGGATATCAATATTGTGCAAATTGACTATTCTCCCGCTCAATTGGAAAGACGTCCAAGGAAAATATACCGATAGGTACCGCCGAACACCGTTCGCTCGCTGGTTGGTTGTCCGGTTAGCAGGTTGGTTTGCTGGTTTGCTGGTAAGTTGGTTGGTTGGTTGGTTAATAGCCAGTCAGTTAGTTAGCTAACTAGTTGGTTAGTTGGCTGGTCAGTTAGTTGCCCAGATAGTTAGTCAGCCAGTTGGTTAGTTATTAGTTAGTTGGTTAGTTATTGTTAGTTCGTTAGTTGGTCAGTTGGTTAGTCAGTTGGCTAGTCGTTAGTTGGTTAGTCAGTTGGTTAGTTACTCGCTCACTATATCCGGACTCAGATAAATCCTAGAGTAAGGGGGAGTAATAAAGCTCTTTTCGGGCATAGTCCCGATCATATCCAGGTCGGTAATTTAGCAGGCGTCCAGAACGCGGGAATTAATATCATAGTAACGTACGAAATAAATTACTAGATGCCCTAGTGCTAATGTGAAAATCCGCCATCCCGCCTTCACATCCCGAGAGATCTAGACTAGTGCATACCTGTACCCTTAGTTTAGTGATTTCGTATGATAGCTCTCCACGGTATGATATTACAAGTCAGTTGGTCATGCCATACATACGGTATCATACTCACTTCCCCTGCCACCCTCAACGGTCTTTCCATATTGATCAATCCAGACTTAATCCGCCCTCCAAATACCAGTATCTCGACATAACCCCCCCGCCCAACAAGTTATCGCACCGGAATGAGTAATAGTACCATACCGGTATTTTCACCCACTGCTAAAGCATGGTCTGTACAGCGCTACATATACCGCAGTTTATAGTGCTATGGCAGCGAAATCGACATTATTACCAATGATAACTTATGCGGCGCGAGATCGCATTACCCCGCCGCAGAGTGGCAGAGTTAAGAAACCTACGATAATCCCCACTAATGATCCCACTCGCGACGCTCACTCTTGCATGGGGCAATCCCGAAAATTGGGATGTCCAGGCATTGAGGACATTAGCAGGTGAGACGACCCAACATTCCTACGCCCTCGCCCCAGTACAAAAAACTCATAGTGGACATCGATATCGCCATTCGCAATGCTGAGAAAGCCTCGGCATATCGAGCTAGGTAGAGGAGGGTCCTAGAATAGACCCAAGCTTATGTTTTGCCAAATCCTTTAATCATTAAGGATGCAGTACAGCACGGTAAAGTGGTACAATTCCCGTATTCAACCGCTGTATTACGGCATATACGAGTGCCCAAGTCTCTCAACATACACAACCAATATCGCAAACAACCAATAGCGGGCATTCAGTGCCCCAAAAGCGGGGTGAAAATCTGTTTAAACCCCTCCCACTCCCGAGAAAGCATCATAGTCGTGACATCCCCGTCAAAGGTATGATCCCCTCGCTAGAAGAGGCGGAAAAAAAAAACTAAATTCAAACTCCTCTTCGATAAACTAACACATTCCTTCCTCCTCAACGCCGAAGTCTGACTCCGGGGCTAATCTCCCTCCATGACATTCCACCGTAGGACACCGGTGAGACATGATTACCCGCCTCCCGCTCCAGCCCGCGGGGAGGGAACCGCCTTACGAGGCGCTCTTTCAATCCATTAGTCCGGCAAGGAAACATGTCCAAAAGCTCAGTTATCAGTGCTCGTATTGTGAATACAGACCAGCCCCTTGCCCGGCCATTCGGAGTCCGGTTGCGCAGAATTCTCTATTACCTAATATTGGTATAGTGTGGTGCAGTGCTTCCGGTCGTCCAGTCCGTCCAAGACTGGGTCAGGACGCCAAGAGACTGAAATGTCTCGTCTTTGGGCGGACTGGACGACCTTGGCGCCGTCCTACTTGTAGATGGGGCGGACGGCCGTCGGCCCGTGCCCGGGCCACCTGTGATAATCTGCTACTATGTTCCGCCTCGTTATTACAAGTATGGTATGGTTTGACAGAGGTCTTGGCTTTGGGGGGGGTCAAGGTGTTAATATTGTGAGATATGGCGCTTACTTACTTTTGATATGGCTTTAACAGAAGGGGGGGCTATTGTGGTGTGCATATGCTGTACGGTACGGTGCTCGAGTACAGTACATTGCATGGGAGTGATTGGAATTGGAATAAAATGTGACGGACATGATAATCTATTGTATTTTAATTGACATGGAAATAGCAGAAAGGGCTCACAAAATCAAACAAGACTGGGCTGAACGCCATGCTTGTTATCTCTTGTGGGATGAAGAAACAAAGGACGAAAGAAAAAAAGCACAAAACTAAAAATTGAACAAAGCCACCGGTCGCTAAATGCAGGTGCTGTGCAACATAACTTATACCACCGCCACCACTCATACAAACGCTCCCCATCACCGCTACCTACCGCAAATGAAAACCATCTAGATTGGTACCAACCTCACACCCCCGAACCCCCACCCACCGGAAATCTGGCCACCATCCCCTCCTCCGTCTTTCTCAATACAGCTAAGCACAACTCCAACGTGCCCGCTAGCACCGACCACCACCTCCGCATCTCCGGAAACCTCAAACCATCCACTATGACCGTCCTGCTGCTCCTCTACAGCCCACTGCTGAGCGGTAATCCTAACCCTCACTGCATCCGGCTGTAGCAGTGTAGGAACAATGTCCGTGGAAATGTACCTATCGACGAAGCGGTTCGTGAACGTCTTTGCATCGTATGGCTTCCCGGCTGAGAGGATCAAGTCTTCTGGCGGGCGAAGGGGGGATGGTGAAGATGTCGGTGCTGAAGAGCGGAGGATATAGCGAAGCTTATAGCGGCCTGTAGGGACGCCGGAAATTAGTGTTCGGAGGTCTAAAGAGGAAGTGACGGCGCGGTTGCAGGTCAGGATTTGTGACTCGGTGCGGGTGCCGTCATTATCTAGGTCTTCGAGGACAGGTACCGGTACTGGACTTGAACGGCTGTTTTTTGGTACGCCCTGGAGGAACATGTTTTCCAACGACCAACTCGCAGCCTCTTCCCCTACAGGCACTGGGGCGATAGCAAACCTCCCAGCAGAACACTCAACGACTCTCCTCTTGGTCGAAATCCCAACGATCGTTCTAGCCAACTTTTGCCTGCGTATAACTTGATCAGAATCGTCCAGGTACCGTCTCGTAACACTCCCCATCTCATCTTCCTTCATCCACTGCTCGAGAGAAATTTCACCAAGGCCCGAATCGACGTCCCAGCGGTAATACTCTGTTTGCGCGTCCCTATACATCCTCTGCACCTCATTATCAACTCTCGCCGTGCTTGTCGCCATCGCCACGAGCGCACCCGCGAGTGACAGTTCGCGATGAAGACCGAAGGGCAGCCAGCGCAACCCACGTCTTATAGCTGGGATGGTTTGTAAACCGGTACCGATGCTAACAATTACACCGATTTCCCGACCGGGCCAGCGGGCTTTGGCCTCAAAATCGATTTCGGCGCACGGGGAATTATAGCCGAGACCGCCGTCAATATAGGTGATCTTGGGCGTGCCGAACGTGATCTCGTCGAAAAAGGTTGGGGCTGCAGAGGTCGCTCGGAGGGCCTGCCAGATTTTGGTCTTGCGGTCGGTGGGATCGTTTGTGTGAAACAGTTTCGGTACGCCGACGGCGTGCTTGTAGACTGCTACGACTATACCGTGGCAGCCCGGCTCGTGGGGTTGTGCACTAGGTGTGTTTGGACCCGGCGTAGACTGGGGGTCGCGAGCGAGCAAGAGATTGGTGTTTGTAGATCTTCGCCAGGTTTTCTTCTCGATCACGTCCCGGACACCGCCACTATGGGTTACTTCTAATTTAGCGAGCTGGTCGGTATCCACCCGACGACGGATCTCCTGCTCGCGTAGCGAGAGCGTCTCGTCGAACATTCTCTCCTCCGGGTCGAAGCCTTTCTCGGCCAACACCCGCTTGATAGCTTTCTCCAATACAACCCCCGAGAACCGGGCCCCCGCAAACCGGAGCGGCGTTCCAAATATCCTAACTGAGCGGTCCTTGCTGAATATTTCCTCCGCGAGCCGAGTGTAGATGCTTATACATGTCGGTACGTCTAGGCGCAGACGGGAGAGTAGAATGGCGATGATTCCACCGGTAGATGTCCCGCCGATGATGTCAAAGTATTCGCAGGGCTTCAATGGTGTGTCGTCGTGCTTCGGGCGAATGTTGGAGGATTTCTCGTGCTGCGATATGGTGGTCATGATATCCTGTAGTATCATCAACGAGCTCAATCCACGGACTCCCCCGCCATCAAGCGAGAGGATTCTAAGTGGTGGTAGATTCGACTCAGCCATTGTGTGCGATATCAATTCGTGTGCGGATTCGTGAAGAACGGAGAAGAGGTGTGGAGAATGCAGCTCCTTTTCATTGCCCGGCCCAGTTGTATCGCACTGTCCACCATGAATAGGTGACTTGTCGATGGCTTCCAACCCCAGTAAGCTACTGGCGCACAGCCATGCAAGCCTGTCTCATAATCCTTGCAAGGCGAACTCGCCACAGTTGACATGAGGACCAGCAGCTAACCAAGTTCGGGGGAAGCAAGGACCCGGCACCGTACCGTATCGCCCCGATTATTTGGAAAGCACACTCCGTACCGGTATTGCTATTCTTAATTGTCTACGCGAGTACAAGTAGGGATTGTCCGTCAGCGCCCTCAACTGTTCCCCGGATTATCTGTCATAGCATAATAAATTAAGGGCCGGTTTTGTCCAGCCGCTGGGCTAGACAAGGGCAGGGCTTACGCCAATGCCTAGGTTGTTTGTTGTACGAGGAGTACGGGAGTGGGCGTTGTGCTCGAGTACAGAAGGTTGGCCCAGTAAGCACATCGGTACCATGAAACGTATAGGACGGTAGGTACCCGCGGAAAGCCTTATCCAAGGCTTCAGGTTGGCTACACGGCTTTTTCCGGGACGAGGCGAAAATCTGAAGCTCCAAAAGCCCATGTTTTGTGTGATATTCCTGGAGAACTATGGGCAATTAACTAAAAGTAGAGAAGGGGAACAAAAGTGCAAAGGAGGAGGAGAAGGCCTTTAGGTTTACTCCAATGCTTGGGTAGGACCCCCCTCAGTCAAGTGGTCAGCCACACAAGACTAGGCCCAGAACGTCCACAACATCTATCTCCCGTGTCATATCATTAGATTTAGCATCTTTCTGTATGATACAGGCAAAAAAACCGGAGCCTACAAAGCCCCAAACCACACTTCCGGGCCCATAGGCCCACAAAATTGCGAGTGACATCCCGTGCCCCCAAGTTCATGCAAGGAACGGTATTAAAGGTTTACACTATAATACTCAAACGCAAAACATATCTCTTCTCATCTCATTTCCACACACCATGCTCCTTCATGCCCTTCCATCCAACCATCATCCCCGCCATCCCTTCCACCCCCCCCCCCTCCATCCGCAATAGTAGGGTTCCTCTCTTCGTACCGAAATTTTGCCTCCCCTCCGCCTTGCCGCGCGCATTTTTCCAACCACGGCCATCCAGTCCCGATGCCCGGAGCTCTTCCAAGATTCCGAGCAGGACATTCTGCCGACCATTTCCTAACTCGCCGCTCACCCATTGGGCCAAATTTCCTTCCCCCTCTCCCAAAAGAAAAACGAAGGAGGGGGGAAATTACGCTCACAACGCCTTTAATCCACAGTCCATGCCCCTCCACTTGCGAGGGGCCAGAATTCTCGAAGAGGACATTTTCCGATAGCTGATAAGCTTGCGAGGGAGTGGTAAATTTGAGCCAACCCAGGATTCCCGGTTTCAATCCTGTTTTCATCAATGCTGAATTCATGGATTAGTCAGAAGAAGAGTGAGGCAAAAGGAGAGTTTTGGAGATATGGCCGGCGGCGGTTGTGGTGGTTCGGAGGGTGCTTGTTTTCATCATGGTGGGGGGCGCGCATGTCATTACAACGTGCGGCCCGGCTCCCTGAGGCGGCTGATGTCATTGCTCAGCTTCTCCGGGGGTGATGTCAAGAATTGGGTGTCTATAGCTCTAATAGCTCGACCGGGCGGGGCAGTAATATAACCCCCCGGGTCTAGATTTGGCGGGAACCTGGCGGGATTTATTACTTATGGCGTAGAGTCTTGGCAGAGCTCTCACTCTGAGGTCAAGCGGGTGGAAACCGGTGCATTGATACGAGTACGGTCAATGTCGAACATGCATCAATTGTACCGTTCCGAATTGGTAACAAACCCGGGCTTGGCCATGCAGTAATACCCGGAGTGACAACAATCGACAAACCAAGCAACTACCGGTAATATAGTACCGGTAGAGGGATCTCGCAAGGCAGAGTTAGGGATCGCCCCCCCCCCCCCATTTCCGACAACGATGTTTTACTCTATCATACTCGTATTGTGACGTCAATCGTGCTTGAAAAGATGGGATTTCGGAGTCCGGGTTAAAATTAGTTAGCACAATGGCTTAATAAGCACTAAGAGCCCCATCTTATTGTTACCGTCAGAGCTATGATACAAGCACCCACACAATTAAGATATCGGCTTCGCAATACTAGTGATTATGATACTATCAACGGATCTAGAAAGGAAGGTCGATTCCAGCTCATGGTACTGTAGCGTGTGCCATTCTTGCTCCACTACGGTAGGAAGAATTCGCGGGTTGTCCGATTTGCCTTATGATATCATGGCTAGAAATGAGCCACAGATGTCTTAAGTGAGATGCGAACCCTGACTTGTGACCTATTTCCGTCGCAAGGAGCTGGATTTGAGCTTCTGATATCATACCGTAAGGGGCAGTAGGCTAGAAGAGGCCTCATGCCTAAAAAACGACTATAATATTATTGTACCGTTACATGACTTCTGCATCCTCCCGGGGATCCGCTAACCTTGCATGTTCCCAAGTACTTGTAGTCCATATCACCACAAGCCAAAGAGGGTTTACAGTTTAGCGGGCGCTAAATCATCCGTTAATAAAATCCAGACTACCCCTTGTCATGCCCAATGCTAGCACTGGTCCATAGTGCTGTACAGTACAGTACCGTGCAAAGCGCTTAAAGCGTGTATCATACCAAGGCGGCCGCATTTTTTCAACACCTCTATTTGTAAAAGTGTAAAGTGCCATTAATGAGGAGAGTAGGTTTTCCCAGGCCCAAATCTCGGTCCCTTCCCGTCCGTCGTCTCGAGTTTCCTTACGCAATTCCCGAATCCAATGCATTCGAGTTATAATAAACACCGCCCCCTCTCAAGAACTTTTACAAAAAATTGCCTTTGAAATACCCTACAGCGTCAGTGGCACTATTTCAGTAACGGGGCCTTACGGAAATCAGGGTCGTCCAGAATCATATCGGATGAGAGTGCTGTTTGGAGTTTCAGTAGTTTGTGAAAGATACCGTGAGAGTAGAATGTACTAGTACAGATTCCGTGAACCCCTCCACAACTCAGGAAACAATTACCGGCAATCGAAGTTTCCGAATTGTATAAGGGACGAAGAGCAAATAGGTAGATAGCTGAAAATAAGATAAAAATAGACAGACATGGGAAGTAATCAAACATGGGATCTCCAGAATTGATTCCGCTAGTTTGAGCTCCTCTACCTTTTGCGGATGGAGGTATCATATTACACGAACGCACCCGCCTTGGTACCAGTACAGTACATGCTCCGAGCGCCTTGCACCGCTCCGGACTTGGCCCTACGCAAGTCAGCCGCCATACCTTGGGAATTGATCGGCCCAAGATTCGGGGCGCAAGCCATGTATTCACAGCTTCCGGGCTGAAGAGCGAAGAAAACGGGAAGCCCCTTCCAATTCCAGCGCCCTCGCGAAGGCTTGTAGACATAAGGATATATGGAAATACCCGGAATGTGTGGAATGTATAGATAGTAGGAACTGCAGAAATGGGAACCGCGACAGAATTCCAGATGGATAAATTACGGAAGCTGCACTGGACTAGGAAACTTGTATACATAAATTATAATTGTCACTGTTGCTTTAGAATAACATGAGATGTACAGTAGTATATACTTGTCACTTCGGACCTCACAATTGAATATGATTTTGCGAGTGACACCGGGTGGTTGTGCACCGAAGCTCCGGCTCGCTCTTTCATGATAAGCAAGCAAGTCTGGGTAGGTTTGTCCCATCAATATCTATAACCAAAGTTCAAGCGGTATAGTAGATTTTGGGCATATCGAGAGTCCCGGATTTGGGATCCTACGTTTGGGGCAGTGTAATAGTGGTATCATATGCAAGGTTACGCCAAGGAGGACGACTTTTCTGGAAAAACTTTCCTTGAGTGGACATGCCAAAGGTCAAAGTGTCCCGCTACAAAGTTTCGTATCCGGAAACCGGTCACTGGAGAAGTCGTAATTCCCATCCAGTTATCCACTAAAGTCCAGTGTATGATCCTCATGTGTGACTATCGGTATGGGAAGATTCGTGCCGTATCTACAAGTACTTCTTACCCCTCGCCCTTCCCGGCGGGCGCTGCCATGGCATTCGTGAAAGGCTTCGTAATCAGGACGGGCCAGAGGGAGGGGGGGAAATAAATCACCCGTCCCAAATACGATACCGGTACTCTCGGAGGGTTGGCTCCGTAACGCCGAACTGCTCGTTTCTCAAAAAAAAAAAAGAGAGAAAAGAATAAAAATAAAAATAAAAACAGGTCAAGAGGGGGCCTTGATACAGTAGCACAGAAATCACTCATTTTCTAGATCTAGAGGTGCCCCTCATTTTTTCACTCAGGCTAGCCCTTACAATGGAGACTTTGGCAAATCGCAATATTACGGAGAATAATCAATAACACATTTCTTGGGGGTATATCATACAAGACAACACACACTATAGTAATTGTCCCAGGAATACGGTAGGACCGGCCTTCCGGAGCCCGGGAGGGTTAGGGGCTACGGTGGGGCAACATACTCGTATCATATCATACCAACAATAATTTAACCAAGTTACACCGCCCCACACCCAGTGTGCTTAATTTAAGGCAGTGGAAACCACAGTATTCGTGCAGCTGGTATGCCAGGAAGATCATACCCGCAGGCAGCACCTTCTTATCGGAGAACAAAAAACAGCATCCCCAATCTTCCCACATCTTCCACGATATAGGCAAGGGTGCACTGGCGCGGCACCAATCTACACCCGTTTCGGCCGCGAGACCGGGAGGGTACGCCACAGGGGGATAAAGTTATTCCTATAATGGGTTGGATTAAGCTTTGTCGGTGATTATCCAACCGTACGGGGATGGCTCAGGGTCAGGGTTCTGCCTCAAAATCATGAAACTCATCATTTTCATAAGAGTCTATAGGTGGTGCGGCACCCTACCAATCTTCGTGCACCATCGCAAAATGGCCCTCCAGTATCATGCCGGTAGTCCAGCTCACTTGTGATATCCAACCTCAACAAAAACACTAAGAGCCTGTGAACTCGTGCGCTCAACCCCAACAGCCAACCCGGGCCATCACGTGAGCTGTAACTGCACTCCGCTCCTCCTTGCCAATCCATCCGACCGACCACTCTAAAAACCGAGACATGCATCACCCACCCACCCACCCAAAGTTCACCGCACTATCGCAATACCTGTACTCGTATCCGCAGATGCGGGGAAGTGGGTGACCGTGCCTTGTGCGCTGTCTCTGGTAGCAAATGAATGGCCATGACGGGAGTGGGGACCGTGGGATCTCGGGTATGATACCAGAATGCACGCATGAACACCCGAAACGCCCCAAGAAAAAATTATTAAATGTTAAAAAAAGGAGGTTTGAATTTCGGACGATATGCCGTGAAGCACACTGATGATCCGATCCCGGTTGCTAGTGCACTTTGTTTTTTTCTTCTGTTTCACCTGGTGGTGGTGGGGTTTTCTGGAACAGCGCTGGTTTATTCATAGTTATTGTACTCGAGTAGTGTATCCGATCGGGCGCAATACGGTAGGGAGGTGCTTGCTTTGTTAGTGAGTTGGCGGTGGCCGCGTGATCGTGGGCTCGGGGGCGGGTTTCCTTCTGGTATTCCTCGGCGAGTTTTCTGTGCGGTGGATGCTCGTACCTGTATGGGTCTCTCGGAGGCCAGGGCTGTTTCGTATCGCCAATTTGGACGGCCAGTGTTCTACGTTTGGTGGTGTCGGCATCCAGAAAGAAAAGGTGGTATTCCATCGCGATGCATGGCACATGTATAGTACTACCCATAGTACCACACAGCACAGTGCTGCTTCGGGCGACGGATACCATAGAATCAGTTCCCCACCGGGACCGTACAATGCAGTACCGCCCCGTCAAGCTAGCGACACAAACCATGATCGTTCGGAGAAAGGTGTACCAAACATTACCTCCCACTGGTAATCAATTCAAAAGCAATCTCAAGGGGTGATTAGAAGGAGTAGGGTCTGATATCTCTGCCGTTTGCGCTTGAATGAGGTGCGATGAATTGATGGGGGAGGGAAGTATCACTGTCAGGGGGTCTGTTGGTTCATTTGCTACTGGTGGCCCGAAATAATGACAATAGTCCTCTGGAGCATTGGTGAATCATGTTCAAGGACGATTTTTTTACCGAATTAACCAGGCTTCGGTCGATACACAATGAAAGGTAATTATATTCCCATTAAAAAGCTTCCTCTTAACCCCAGAAATCCCGAATCATACAAATTATTAACGCCAACCGCGAGCACGCTCATTTGGCGGGATATGTCATTCCTTCCGGAGCCTTTGGTTGCTCCGTAATGGCACCCTGTGCTTCGCTCTCTCTTAGGATAACCTGCGAGGGTTAGTGTTTCTCCGGAGTCGAAAGGGTAAAAAGGTAGCGATGCTCACCTCTTTCTCGTTCTGGATCAAAGAGCACGCGGGGCACCAGTAGGTTATGCAACAATCACCCAGGTCATCACCCGAGATGTTGTACCTCTGTCGGATTTTCTGTCGATGAAGGAACGGAAGAACAACTGCGATTCATTAATAGAATTCATGGCTAAGTTGAGAGGGGACATACATCCTACGCAACCGCAGACGTAGAAGAGACCGCAAGCGCCAACAGAGGTGGCGTTTATCGGCTCATGGCCTTCAAGTGTAGACGGGTTTGTGGAGAGGCGAAAATCGGTTTGCGAGTAGCTTAAGCCGGGGATGCAGCACCCGATGAGACCTACAACATTAACAAAGAGTCGGACTCTGGGGTTAGAAGGTACATACATTGCTTAAGATCAGCAAAGCAATCGAAAAGACCGACTCTGAATTTGGTTTCCGACATTTTCTTTGGTATTCTGATGAAGACTAGCAGCGAGCGAACAAATTGTGTGTGGGGAGGGGAGGAGGAATATATAACGCTTCCAGCCGTGGTGAATGCCGTGTTGAATCACCCTCGATCCCCACAACAACCAATCCCTCCCCTCCCTGCCTTCTTTTTAGGGTTACCGACTACTCTCACTTTCACACAATACCGATACGGTAGGCCAAAGGAGTTTTTTTTACCAGTACTGATAGGTGCAGGCTGCAAGCAGGGCGTTGCAACGAATCCCGCGGCTGAGCAGAGGGCGTTTTGATCCCCTCATTTCATTGGAGAGTCTTGGTTGCAATGAGGGGCGATGCAACCTGGAAGCATCGAATAAAGACTTTACGGGAACGGGGAGCTACTTCGCCGCTTTGAAGAAATTAGGGGGCCTATTTTAAGTTTTGATTGGGCAGCGGAGATGAACTCAAATTGGAATGGAGTGTGCTGGCGGCCTCAAGGTATTCTGGTGGGCTATGTGGTACGACAAGCACTTTTGTCCTCCCCCGAGCGTGACAAAAAGATGGAATACCGGTAGCTCGTGCCACCAATCCTGCAACACAGCACACAGAGTACTTGTGCAATGCGGGTTGACTCATGATACACTATGTCGCACAGTGCTAACCCTTTGGACGGAGTTTCCGAGCCGACCTGAGAAGTCATTGCCGCGCGATACCGGTACCGTTACCGATACAGTACAAGTACTCGAGTACAGTACCAGTACCTAGCACACCGATAGGGAACGGCACTTGTCCGGTGCTTGAGCACGTGCGAGGGTTGGTTCTGCATCATGCGTTAACCTTGGTTTTGCTGCATTCAGAGCACCTGGGCCCCTTGCGCGCAAAATAAATTTACTTTTGACAAGAAGTTTGGAGGGATTTCCCAACAAGTGATATCAGACGGTAAGCTCCGCATTCCTAAAAGTATCTGGGAATGATTATCCCGTACTCGTACAAGTACAGTACTAGGCTGCGACAAAACTCTCCGGAACAAAAGGTTGGCAATCCTATGTTTGTTTCCTCCCTTTAGAGCTCCGGCTAATTGGCACTTAACAAGCGGCTGAACTCGAGAATTCAGCGCATATGCGACCTTCATAGCCCCCGGTGAGCCCTACCGTATTGCGCATCTAGGTTTCATTGAGGAAAAAACTCTGGGGCCCTCTCGGAACCCTCAGGAAATCTGTGTACCGATATGCTGCTGATATGCTGGAGGGTCAAAAAGCCATCCCTGCCAGTGTCTGAGACCGATAACCAATAGCCAGCTTTTGGAAACCAGGGTACAGTACTAGTACAGTACTCCAACCTCCCGGGTATGATATGCAAACTTCGGACCATGGCTGTTTAGACGACGGTTATACCCGGTACAGTAACTGCGCTGTTGATCATTGAAAGATACTGGGGTGCCGGTAGTTTCTTAACTCAATCTCAGACACTAGCAGGGTCGCACAATATTTTTCACCGTCACTAACAAAGAAAACCCCTAGATTTTTCATCGCTGCGATATGCAATGGGAGCTTATCCGCAAGGTGCTTTTACCGAGAATTTCTGATGCTGCGTTATTCAGGAGAGAGAGTTCCACAGCACACTTATGGATACCTGCGGCACTCGGAAGGACGTTCGAGTTGGATATTAACGATACGAGGTGCTGCAGAATCCCGGGACAGCTTCACCTGGGTGTACCGATATACTTGTATGGGTAAGGGGTAAGTAAATACAGGAAATATCCTATTGGCACCGTTTCACGAGGCGTGACTTGCGATATCCGGGGCGCCTCCACAGTGATCGATTCCGACCCCATTTCTCGAGGGCATCCGTGATTATATAAATTAGGGGCTAAGGGTCAGCAAGTATCGTGACTTTAGAAAGCCTTGAGGGACAAGGGAGAGTTGGAATTTTTTTGTCGCAATGTCTCAGCAAATGAGGGGGTATTGTACTCGCACAAGTATAAGCGCGGGTAATCACTCACTGGTAGAGCGCCGGTGGGTGGGGAGGTGGGGATATCGCTTATGATAAAAGTACCGGTATCGTCCCTTTCTGTCCCTTTCTGGCCCCCAAAGGCTAACGGCTGACCCTGAAACCCAGCAACGATTCCGGTGATCATTGCTCAATCTGGGGGTGCCCGTGGGAACTCGAATAAATAAGCCTTGTATCAGATACTGTTAGGACGTTGGACATCAATCTCTCCTCGCAAGGGATGGTATTTTCTTCCTCCCCACTTCCCTCTGAAGCCAGGTTTTCTAGTGGTACAGTACTGTACCGGTATTCGATTACAGGCCTACCGGTTTATACCCGGGATATCGTTTTCGTACAAGACAGGGGTACGGTAGTAAACCAACAAAGTAATCACCATTTTGTACTAGCACAGGTACGAAACCATCACTCCGGAGCTCTACAATAGCACTTGTCCAGTATCTGACAGTGTGTAACGGAAAATTCGCTTATCGTTACACACCAACTCAGCCAACCAAAGCAACCCTGCGCAGTTTATACTAGTACTCGTAGTAGACAGGCGTACGGTACCCGAGTACAATTACCCCTCACCCCTTTTCCAGGGGAGGAAATTCTAGACTGCCTAGCCCATGGCCCAAATACCGGTATTCGACTTTCTTCGATACCGGTAATGCCATACGGTAATGGCCTGGGAAACCGTGTGAGACACTGGGACTTTTCCCTTGTTCCACAAGAATTTCTGTACCCGGTATAAGGTGGATGGATATCCATGAGCCCCTGACCCAACATACCCTAGGAGCAATTGGAATTAGCTATAGAGCTATCAGCGGAAGCCTTCCTATTAGCTCACAATGGGCTCAATTTAACAGGTGGCGTTGCTCGAGCACCGTAGCGGAATGGCGGTCATGATACGATACCAGCAAATGAGAACCGACGGATCCCATGGGCGCGGGGAGCGCACTAAAATCCCCCAGGAGCCCCCGTACCTGAACCTTGATATTAGGGGCCTGCCAGAGGTAGCGAATTACAAGAGGCCTTAAGGGCGGTTTACACTAGAGTGTCAGCCGGACGGCGCACCAGTGGCCCTGCAACGTTTCTGTCAAAAAACGATGAGCCACGTAGGTCATCACTGGGAATCACTCGGGAGAATTACCATAAGATGGCGTCGGAGGTGGCTTAGAGCGAATGAGGGGGCGAGTGCCGGTAGTGGATGGTGATGATGGAAGCATTATATCTGTGCGGTGTTGCAATTTCTGAGAGACCTGAGAAATCGGGTACCGTACCGTAGTAGCACAGTACTATTGTAGTACAGTAGTACCGGTGTCATATCCCGAATACCGGTAATTGAACCATGTGCCAAGTCCTTCTCGTTGTCTCCTATGGTAAAGTCTGAGATTAGCTTACTTGTTTTTTGTTTTGTTTTTCTCATGTCGTGCAGAAGGGCTGAACGGCGCAGCTCTCTTGCTGCTTTTTGCCCCCCTTTTTCAAAGGTGGAAGGAATGTTTGGACTACGATATGATACAAGTACTTGTACCAAGCACATGGTTCCATTATCAGCGGTTCTGGGGTATTATCATACCCGCACAGGAAACAGGCAGGGGGGCGCAACCGGTTGCGACGATAAACTTATGATACACAAAGACCCTTTTCATTCTTTCATTCTCACGACAATATAATAATATGATGTGTCATGTCTCGCCGGCGGCAGGGAGCAGACAAACAAACACACACCCGGGGCGCAAAACAATGATCCCGAAAGGGGGGGGGGGGGATGGTCGGTAATGGGAGTATCCGAAAATATGTTGGACTTGTTTTTTTTCGCTAAATTTATGATGGAGAAAGTGTAACGCGGGGGATCTCGTGACCTACTTTAATTGGGTGGCACTTTTCTACTTTATCATGGCGTACTTTGAGTGCAAATGGATTTTGATTGGGTAGGTGGTGGGGGAGTGATGTCACCGACTCATTTCAAGTCAATTTTGCGAGAGGGTCTCGTCTCAGATTTAAGCCTATGATACTCGTGCGGTGCATATGTTGGGTTCTGGAAGGGCTGCCCGTCGAGGTTCTCCGCTAGATTGACTGCCAACCCTTGACGGTTGTGATGCGGCGTCTTCCTGTCGTTCCATAGTAGACAGGTGGTACTATTGCTGCGTACGCTATGCTTCGATTCGGCTCAAGAGAGTGGATAATAATTACTGTGGTTAAACATTCCCTTAAAGTAACGAGGATTGCTGTACTATACTTGGGAGTTTTTTTTTAAAAAAAAAGGGAGTGGCGTGTGGATCTTATGCCATAAAAGTTGATTTGGCAAACATAAATTTCTCTAATAATATGGAATTTTTATATTGAGGGGGTGTATGATATGGGAAAAACAGATGTGGAGTGCCTGGTGCTCCCTGTATGAGTGGTGAGGGTTTAAGCATAAGAAGAGAAGAGGGAAAAAACTGTATAATATTACGATAACCAGTTTTTTTCCTTCAGCAGCAGTTAATTATGCATATGATTTTAATTAGGATTCTTGGAAAACACACAGCTATGATATCATACATCCGGAACAGACCTTCGGTCTATGATACCGCTGCCGTACAGCCTGCTACTACGAATCTCAACGATCCGGATACCTCTATCCCGTACGAACCCCCGATTGCAGTGTTCTGGCCGACTCCTCGGCTTTCGCTATGGGATGCGCGGGTGGGACTATTTGGAGATGTACTGTACTGACTTAGTACTGCTGGGTAGGCAGTCCCTAGCCGGCATATCTCTTAGAACACTGTACTGCAATGCCTCAAGTGCCCAGCCATACAGCACACCGATCACCAGCACTCTCTAGACAAACCATAAATAGAACCGATAAGATAAAGCACCCGCACTCCCACGAAAACTCGACCTGCAGTCCTGGACCCCCCACCCACCGCGCCGAACAGATTCTTTAGATTTTTGCCGGGTTGCTGCCGGTACTCTTCCGCGCATAGTGGCCCCACGTGGTACAGTACTTGCAATACGAATTTGAATATCCATTTTCGAATGCGGATCGCGTCATTTAAGAGATTTGAACGGAGGGTGGTAGGCTGTGCTTTCCGAACTCCTATCAGTGCTGCGGGTAGGACACACCGCATGCGGGGAAGAGCACTAGGCTGGAGACGTTCCGTGATTCGGCAGCCTTATGCAAAGACGAGGCCACAGTATCCGTAGCCGGAAAAAAGTGCTTGGGCGATCCGCACCCGCCGGATTCTGGACGGGAGTCTCTGTGGAACGGGATTTCACGGCGGGGAAGCGTTTGGTGTTACTCGAGTACTGGATAGTACAGTACTGTGCTACAGGTAGCACAGTATAATACCGTATTAACTTGAATAAGAGCAACACATCTCGGGACGTCTGACTTGCCTATTTTGGTAGGGACGGGAGAAAATACCAGCAAAATAAAACCACGCGTTACCAAGAGGGGAAACCTAGACGTCCCGAGCGGTGTTGCTCTTATTCAAGTTCATACGGTACAATGAGTGCGGGGGTATTGTGAGTAGAGGGGAAGGGGGGATTGTTCTACAGACACGGTGAGACTATGTTTCACTGGGACTTTTGGCTGTACAGTACTGTACCGGTGCAGTACTGGTATCATGCGTTGACTTTTAAAGGAATCGGAATGTGAGTTTCCCATTCAAGGAGGGCTATGACTGCTGCGGCGAAAATTGGGTATGTGGGTGGGTATTTGTCACGATAACAGGATCCCATTCTGAATACTTATAAAAAAAAATAGCCGGGTATAGTACGGTACAAATACAAGTACCGTATGATACCGGACCGTACCGTACCGGGCGTTATTTGCAGTACCGTGCCCACGAGGGAACTGCCGCTACCCGGGTATGATATTCGATGGACAAAAAGAGAAACAATCAAAGATTACATTACCGTACCGGACTTGTTACCGGTACTGATCCCCCTTCGTCGCCAACAAGCCCAGTTTCGTCATGGGTACAGTGCAGTACTGCCATATCAAGATTGTTCCTCGGAAAGCTTGAGAAAGTAGATAAGTGCCTTATTATAAAGCCCGGTTTAAGCCTTGTTCTGCTGGGGGGGCTATCGGGTTGGCGCACGGGGTCGACTGAGGAAGTTCAAGATATAGGATCTTTTTTTCTTCTCCATCTTGCACGGCCCGTCAGATCTTTTCGGAAATCGTGACAAAATACTTTCACTACACATACGGCATTACTACCCCCTCGCTAATGATATTCATCTAAAACCCGTGCATTGAAACTCCTACCGGAGCAGTGGCTCTGGACCCCTCATGTCTCATACTTCTCTCAACCTCGCTCGCGCAACGCCCCGGGGCTCGTACCACTGGCTTTACCGCCGGTCTTCTCTTTACGGATATTCCCAGGGCGACAACAACCTCCCTTGATGCAGTAACTTCCAGCGGCGGAATAGTTGCCGTCACGACAGCAGATGGCATTAGTCGGGATACAAGTTTTGCTCGAACAGAGTTTCTCCATGCTCAAGTTGCAACACCTCGTCCTGCCGTCTTTGTCCGGAGAGCACCCGGAACCAGCCTCCGCGCAGCACCCGGCGCCCATCGGACAGCACGCACCCTTCATTGGACAGCAGGAATTCTCTTTCCTGCTGAAGCCGAGGTCTTTGTTCGGGCAGGTGTCGGATAGGAGTTGCGGCGCTCCGCTCGGAACCTGAAGGGGGCGGGGATGCCTTCCAATTGTTCACCAAGGCTCTTGGAAGCTGGGTCGTTGTTGCTAGGTGGAAGAGTTAGCTTTAGCCATGAAATTAAAGGGGGGTCATTACTCGGGGAGGATACCTAGATGGCGAACCTGGAGATGGTTTTTAGGTGTTTGATGTGTATGGATGCAGGCAACAGCACCAACGAAGGCCGTGACAAGAAGGACTGAAGGTGACTTCAGGATCGCGTTCGATGGGGAACCGAGAACGGAGAATCGAGGGGAGAGGTATCGCTACTTATTCCGTCGTCAATAAGGAGAAAGCAGGGGCTTCGTTAGGAGACGTAAGGGGGTTTATACAGGTACGGACGGAAGCAAGGCTTCGCAATATCCGGTATCTGTTGAGAAGAGCAAGTGCGATGGCGGGATACACTTCGAATGATTACATCCGGAGAAATGCCTTATAGAGAAGAATCGGTAGGGTACAAGATTTTTACACGCGCACTCTAACTAGATTGGACATCAGTGGTCGTCGGGTTAGGCTGCTTACACATTTTCTCTCTCTCTCCTTCTGAGCCAGGATGCGATGTCTCTCGCTCTCGGCGTGCTGGGCTGCGAAGGTGGAACTTTATACCGCCAATAGCAAAACAATACCGTCGGTATGAATGGTGGATATATGGATTTTGATATCAGAAATTTTTGGCTTTCCATAATGGCTGAGCTCCTGCCACGACGCTCCTCCATCGGCATCGCCCCGACCTAACATATCCGCGATCACTCCATGCGAACCAGTCACAATTAGCCGTTGCCCCGGCGGGGGACCTGTGCGGTGCGTTCCGGAAGTGCCTGAGATTGCCGACTGGGGTCACCTGCCATGGCTGCTTCAAGCCCACCTCTTGCTTCTCAAAGTCAATCAACTCGCAAATCTTTTCCTGCTAGCATTGGATATTCGACACAATCTTAGAAACGCTTGCATACCCCCGCGTATCCACCACCACCGCCGCAGTCTGACCAAAGGGTTTAAACTCGCTGGGCTAAGTCCACAACTCCTTGGTAGCGGTATGCACCCTGCTGCGCAGCAGGATACTCTCCAAACACCTTCTTCGGCTGGGCTGGCGGAGTCTTCTTTCCTGAGCGGAGCGAGCCCTCCCAATTCGAACAGTGTAACGGGTCGGTGATCGAATCTTGCCCCTCCACGCGTTCTCTCAAAATTCCGGCCGCATTGCGTCATAACGGGGGGGCATGCCCGGAAATTCAGTCTCATTTACGGCTTATCCGACCGGAGTACTATCGCTGTAGGCACACTTGCATATTTCTCTTGCTACTGCTACTACTGCTGATCCCCTGCGGCGGAGTCGTTCATGTCGTAGTGCCCGCTCACTACCAACGACACCGATGCGAGATAAATTGAGTACTAAGCGATCACCCCGAACACACTACGAAGGAGCAGCAGTGCTTATAGAGCCTCTATTCTCTGCGTAGCTGCCCTCCTCCTCTTCCATCTGACCAAATGCCAAATACGGGTCGCTATTTCAGGGTAGGCCTTATTGGCGGAAGACTCGCGTCGCACGAGTAGCGGCGATGGAGGTTTGGAGTACTGGTATGCCGGCGGAAGGTCATTGTTTGTAGTGATAGTGCCGCCAAAGCCACTTGCGTAAGTGAGGCACAGGACCCTGGTGGTAGCAGAAGTAGTGGATGGCGAGAAGTCTGCCATGATGGGCAGCCGCAGGTATGGTTGGCGAAAATGAATATGCTGAGAGTGACGTTATCTCTGCAATCGTAAGAACACTGTAAAGGCATAAGATTTCACTTAATTTCATACGGAAAGGGAGTCCCCCCAATCGGCCTCTCAATTTGGCCCGGGCACTGCAAGGCAGCGTATGGATGGCTATCCATGCACCGGGATGGAGTAGACTGCTTTGGTGGTAAAAGTGCTCTCGAATCATTGGTGCTCACATAATTGTTCGGGGGGAGCTCAGGTGGCTTAAGCGAAGTGGTAATTAGGCTCACCCGGGGAAGGCCGCTCGTGCCCCTTCGGCAGCAACATCAGCTCTGCTTTTCCCCTGATGGAGATCTGGGAATGCTGAGCTAATACTATGCAAGGGTTTCTCTTTATACTGAGGTGCTTGTTAATTTGGCCCACCATCGTTGTCCGTCAGCAATTTGTTAGGGCGGGAATCATGGCTACATTGCACTTCATGTTTCTTTAGTATGGGGCGTGGGCTCCAAGCACCCGTGTCTATCTGAGATCTTTCTCGTAGATTGTTCTATGATATCTTGTTCTCGGGGCTGATGGCAGCGCAAAGAACGGTCCTATAAAAAAGTAACAATTACCTGATTTCTATCCTTTTAATAAAATAGAAACCATCCTCACCATTTCTAGATCCATAAACCCAATTTCATTCCCCTCAGCAGACTACATATATCGCTGTCTTGACTCATGAGGACCGATGAGTACCGGTAACAGAATCCACAGCGCCCAATTCACCAAACCCAGATTCGCTAAAGTATCGAGTGAAAAACTATCCGGGAACAGAATGGTTCAGCACTAAATTAGGCCCGTCTTCCGCCACTACCTGCATACCGTCCAAATGCTCTGGTGATATCCGCAAGCATGCTCCCCAATACTGCCTTTTTTTGAAAATTCTCGAGTATAACATTCCATTCAAAATTATTCTTTCATCCTGCCTTGAACATATGGGAAAAATAGCAGTGTATCTGAGGTACCAACGGTATACAGCAGGGCACTGTACGGTACCGTACATAGAAGGGAGGAACGGATGAAAGAGTAATTAGCATATTTGGACACTCCTTGGAAGCAATTTATCATTATTACCTACCGTAGGGAAATGAGATAAACCTAGCAGTAAGTAAAGTACCTCCCCAAAAGTGTTGGTGAAATGGGCTTTTTACACCAAAAACATTGATTTTTCGCCACTGGTAGTTTAGGAACCACAAAAGATTTTACAACCTGACTTCTGGTATGTGGTTACGATAATCCCGCCCTACTCCTACTCAACTCTTAATAACTTTGGGGAAGAATTGGAGAAGTTATGCAGTCCTAAAGTTTTGACTTCACTGAAAAGCCTCATTTTACATACAAAAATGGCATAGCAACAGGTATTGTCAACTTTGGAGACTTGTAGTTTAGCCCCATAGAATAAATTGACAAAATAAATGGTGTCAGGTAAAAGCTGCAGTGAAGGTGAAAATAATTATATGGGTTGTAAGGATTATTTGAAGCAATTCCAGGTGTGGGGGTTGATCAAACCTACCAATTTTTGGTGTAAAAAGGTCATTTCACCAACACTTTTGGGGAGGTACTTTAGCATACCAGTATCATAGCACACAAATTACGTTTTATAGTCTGATATAACGGGAAAATGTGATATCATGCGAATATCATACTGTCCTTGTACTCGTACAGGGAATTAAAGATGTGAGGAACACTCCTCACTCTTTACACCTATCTCACGTGAGCTAACAATCAGGGATAAGCAAGAGAGGGGGGCGTGTCTTGCCCAACCTTGTCTGTTCCACCTTATCAACAAATTTACACCAGTACCGGTATCTCGGCCTCGGATGCCTTCACCGGCGATTGATGACCCGGGGGTCGGAATCATCCCAGGCGACAGCGGAACCGGCGAGAATAGCAAAAGGTCCTGAAACCGCACTACTGTCCTTGAAAGGGTGGAGGTGAAAAAAAACAAGAAAAAACACTTTAACGAGGGAAGAAGTATATGGGGCGGAAGGACGCTACTGGTATTAAGCGATCCACAAGTACAGGTACAGTACTCGGGTATATTCACGAACAAACTTTTCGATCTTTTACAACTTGAATACCATATGATACTAACCCGGTGATCTATCTCGTCTCAATGGAAAAACAAAAAAGAAATTTGTGAAAAAAAAAAAAAGAAGCAAATACTCACAGGTTAGTGCCTAAACATGTAACTTTACTCAAAACTCTAGTCCCAGCAATTCATCCCGTTTCGCCGCTCTCAATGACGATACTGCCCTTCAAATTTGTCATCACAACCTGAGGAAAAAAAAAAAAGGAAGCCACCCCAGCATGAGCGCTAGACGCACCTTCATTTATTTGTACTCTTGTGGGTGAAAAAATGGCATAAGACTCGGGGGAATGACATTTTTCCGGCGCGCTAAACAGGGCCTCAGTGACGTTTAGCGCGGCGGGTGTGGCGCCAAACTGGATTCTGGAATCCAGTCGCGGACAAAACTTGAGCCGCATAAACTTTTCGTTAACCATAGGAAATCACTCGAATTTATGGGCAAGGGGCCTAACTTATGCCTGTATCGTGGGCCTCCACCCTCGACTACGGCCTTAGGTGTACCGCCTTCCCCGCATCGCTCCACCATTCGCTCCTGGTGAGAATTCTTCTCTCCTTGACAGATCCAAATCGGTTCTGAATATCTTACCCTCCGCCCTCATGTGTTCCCCAATAAAATGGGGCGGAAAGAGTTTCACGGTGAGGAGTCGAGATTGTGCATTAGCTCTGCATTCGCCCGCGATAAACCGGTCGAGTTTGTATCTGGACTGGTTAGAATCTGGATGGTACAATAAACTATGCATTTTTCTGCTTGAAGGGAACTCTGTAGATTCCTGCTTTCCTAATGCATGTACTGTACCACCTGAGGTGGAAAAACGTTAGTGGGTGTGATTAGCGCACTGGATTTGGGCTTCCTGGGAATGGGTAGTTAGGCTTGGTCCAATCACGCTACACCCAGCATGCGCAGTGATAGTTATCATTTACCGAAGGTTGCCACAGACCTGTCATCTCAAGTATCCGGTTACCTTACATGATTTATCGAGTTTTTTTCATTTCTTTTTTTCAATTGCTATTCACCCCCTTGGTGGATACCTGACCGCACGCCATTTTCAACTAAAATACATCCAATCTCCAGAAAACCACCTCAGTGACAGTTGCTAGCACATACGGTAGCAAGAGGAAAATGGGCTACCGCCCCTATATGACGAATACAGTTCGGCACAGTGCGTAAACCGTTCTTTTTGAGCCATAGCAGACGAGCCAGCGTGATAATACTATGGCGGCAAAGTCAGAATGGAAATATTCAAGGATGGGTCAGAAGCCACTTCAGTTATCGTACAATGCTTCCGAGATGTATGGAATTGTAAAACTTGGGAGGTATGGAGCTCGTGTTAAAGAATAATACCCACCAAAGGTTACTCCAGTAGACAGTTTTGGAAGGCGATTCTCGAAACACCCCGAGATAAGACTAGTGGGGAGATGGCTAAGCCTGAGGGGTACTTGTGTGAAAGTTGGGTCTATCCCGCCATGTTAGTCACAATCCCGAACTCATTGATTCACCAACTCTGAGGAGGCTTGACACACCTCGGACATAGTCTGAAAGCCTAGTGCCTATTCATATATCACAAACCCATGGACCAGCTGCTTCGTGACCTAGCAGAGCCTCTGTAAATTTCACAGATTAGCGCCCTTGAGTATACTATGACCCACCGAGGTAGGGGAGCATTTACTCGTTCAGGGACGGCTGTCCGTAGACAATTCTCTCCTTCGCGACATCCAAAGCCCGGCTAACCCTCCCCTTGGCCTCAGAAGCCTTGAACAAGAATGCCCTCTTCAACCTCTCGGCAGCCCCGCTCTTGCTCTCTGACCTCTCCCCTCCCTCTTCTCCTAATTGTTTTGGCTCCCATGGAAGCCTCTCAGGCATCTTGACCCCCGCCTTCTCCATCTCTTCATCAAGGCGCTTTTCGATTCCCTCGAGTTTGACCAGATTGCTCAGTATCATTCGCCTACCCTCTAGCAGGTCAATCTCATTACTGGTGATTTTTCTCATAACCGCTTCGGCCTGGTTAATGTAGAGGTTCATATTCATAACGAATGGATCAGCTATCTCCCTCGTGAGTGGGTTCCAAACCCAGATTTTGCGTAGAATCTCGGATACACGGTTCCGCGCAAGGCTAATATGCATTTCCAATTGAGATTCGGTGGGTAAGTCCTGCGGGTTGTACATTTGCAGTGGGCGGCGTTTTGAGGGGGTGCGGAAGATCTGGTGTTTTAAATGCGAGAATCGGGGTTGATATGGCGGTGGTGGAGAGTCTTGCTCTTTTTCCTCAGCGGGGAAGCTTGGAGGCGCTTCCATTATGAACCGTCGAGGTTGGGGGTATGAAAGAGGGTTTTTTCAAAGGGAGAAGGTTGGTAGGGCGTTGGGTAAATTGGAAGGAGGGAGAGGGAGCTAGAGAGAGCTCTTGAAATTGGGGAAACATTTTCTTTTAATGCTCTCCGGAGCAAACTTCGCCCGGTCGCGGGTGTCGTCATCATTTAGGTAGGAGTGCCCGAGTGATTAAGCAAACATGTGTTAGGAAATCGTGATCACATATTCACTCTGTTTGTTGCACCCGACGTGGGAGTAAGAGCAATATGAGAGCTAAACCGAGTCTCGCAAGTTGCATTCAAGGAGACTACCTTTCACCTATTACATTGAAAGCGAGTGACATTCCGTGACTTGAATCAAGTTTCCACATCTCTTTCCCTCTTGAAACAAACAATCCCAGCAACCAAATAAATACTTGCACCTCTTCCTCCCCCCTGCTCTCTCTCCCATCGCCCGCCATTTTCTGCTCTTGCAAATGAGCTCAATAAAACGTCTAAACACCCCTCTAAACGACCTCGTAAAAGAACCTAAATTTTTAAACCTGGAGAAAGTGGAAGAAAATGGTTCTTTCATCTCTTATGTCCCCCAAGCACCGCCCTCAACGCCTAAGTTCAAACCCCTACTTCAAACTCCTGGTGCTCCTCTGGCTCTTGATACTCCTACCGATTCCTTTTACAGCCGCACTCCTCACCTCAGAAATGCGTCGACAAGGGCTCGTCATACACGGGATCTCCGTAGGCGTGCTAAGTCTGATTACTATGGGTTTCGCTCTGTATTACTACTTGAGGGCCGGGATAGAATTGGAGGACCTTGAGGATAAGAGACAGATCGAGGATGGTGAGGCCAAATTGGAATGGGGAATGCAGATAGTTCTGGAAGAGCCTAAGGGGTCCAGGAGCAATGGAAAAGGAAAGAACGTGGGGTTGGTCCCGTTGGTTAAGGTGCCGGAGGAGGCATGTGTTTATGGGAGGGGCAGAGTAGTTTAATGTGGGGTGGTTCTTGACATTCCGGGAGACACTCAGTTGGGTGGCCACAATGTATGATTGACTTGGAAAAGCGAGAGTATTCCTCCCCCCTGTATTAATATGTTCACTTGCTGAATTGAGGTTCTCTTGTCGTATTGTTGGGACCTCCCCTAATTTTAGGCGGGGAAGGTGGATTTTAGCTCGGGGAGAGCATTTCTGGCGTTGGTTGTCTTATTTTATTGAAATTTTATACCAATTATTTTGAACATTGTGCACCCATTCTGAGTTCTCCCTTGAAAGATCATTGACACAGCGGATATCCTCTCTAGACCCAACCCACTCCGCGCTATACTCTGTCATCGTCTGAAACACATAATTATTTGGTGATAGTTTACGATAAGATAACTCCTCCCGATAGTAGACTTACAGAAGGGGTTACGAATGTGTAAAATTACACATGGCATCACTGGAGAGGGAAGAAAAGGGCTTCTCGGTATCGCGGGGTGGTTGCGCTCCCCCTGTGACACTTCCGCCATTCTTCGGTAACTTTCGCCCTAACCAATCACTTATTGAGATCTCGCAAGCACTCTATTTTACCCTGAAGCGTATTCTGGTTCTTTGCCGGTCCAAAAACAAAAGACCGAGTATTTGATTATGAAGTAATGGGAGTAGCGCCGGGATGACATAGCTTCAATGGAAATAATTTCCCCTGAACCTTTCCAGACGGTGTCCTATCGGAGAGGGATAAGAGGGATAAGAGGGGCCATCCGCACAAACGCCGTCGCACAATACCGCCCTTATATTGCCAACAGTCCTCATACCCCCGGTTTACCGTTCCCGAAAGTGAGTAGGTATGTCCCACTAGCACTCGATTTATTCAAGGATTCTCCTTTTGGCTTACAAAGGGAAGCGCGACAAGTTTACTACATACCGAAAATCTCCCGTTACGGTTGCTATATCGTCACTGAGTACTTATGATCGCGCTTAGGATTAAGCTAGAACCTCGAGCCCTCCGCCGGGTCATCTAGCATTTGGAGGACTTAACTTGTGGGAAGTATGGGAAAAACAAGCACATAACAGTTGCTTTACTAGAGTTGAATAAATTGGATGTGGAAGTAACTGATTTTAATGGTAACGTAGTAGTTACCTAGGCGGCTGGAATGGGGCATGAGGGGGCAGTGAGAATACTACTGGAACAGGGCGACGTAAATCCCAACAGATCTGACACCTTGAACAGGAGGACACCGTTTTTGTGGGTTTCCAGGAATGGGCATGAGGGGGATATAGAGAGGCTGATGGAATGGGACAGCGTCAATCCCAACACAACTGACATAAAATATGCCCGGACACCGCTTCCGTGGGCTGCCGAGTGTGGGCCCAAGGAGGGCGGGAGGGCGCCACCGGAAGGGAACTATACCAATCCCAATATAGCCGACAATCAATACGATCGAACAGTGCTTTTCCGGGCTGACGGGAAAGGGCACGGTGGAGTCGTGAGGATACTGCTGGAACAGGGCGATGTCAATCCCGACACAGCTAACACGAAATACTGCCGAGCACTGCTCTCGTAGGCTGTCCGGAATTGCTATGCGGGAGTTGGATAAGTTTGAACCCCGGGTATATGCCAGGTCGCCAATCAACAGATTTTTTTTCCCGGAGTCGCCCAAGCTGTCTAACCCCCCCCCTCCCCCCAAAAAAGGACCCGCAGGTTTTGATATCTAAGGATAAAACCCGATGCTTCTTCCTCCATCCTAGGTATACCTTCCTAGCAGGGGAGTAAGCCCGGCAAAGGAAAAAACTAAGCCTGCTCCAAACGGCTCCTTATCGACCAGCTGATGCAGATATCAAGCCCCGGGACCAGTTTTCTGGAACGTCTCACCTCGTTGGTTCCCCCAAATTACCCCGTCCCATCTCGCCCTCCCTGCCGTCGCTCCCGGATTCTACCTAACCAATTTTGCATATATCTATTGTCCCGTGGTGCTTCACTATACTCCTTTCTCTCTCGATATATACACCCACTTTACCCACATTTTATTTCCCCTACCCACGGAGTTAAGTTATCCCATGCGTGTAAATAACCGACTTTGTAATTACTTGTATTTTCGCATAACATGGGTAACAACCACGTTGTATTATGGCAGAAGTGGGTGGAAGCCTCGTAGATACGGACATCAGCTATGTGCAAACACACACATACTGCGCACCTGAGAGGGGATACACCGCAGGAGTCAAAGAAGAGTTTGCAGTGCGCGATCCATAGAGTCTTGTCCGTTTTGCTCATAAGACTCGTTTGGCCTGCCACGATATAGAAAGAGGGGGATGAGACTTTTCACGAGAATTGCATCACGCCCAGGACCGGATCCTTTTGGCCAAAGTGCACGACAAAAAACATACCCGCATAGCAGCCGTCTTAGTGGCAGTTGCGATCGAAATTAAAAAAGAATAATCTAGCATGATATTAGGAGGCCGGCAAGTTTGGCTATAACCAGAAAGTCCAATGTCACAACATTTCCCTTCCAACAAGGACGCAATAAACGCCAGGAACAAGTCGTTTTCTTTACCTGTGCCAAACGTGGGTTTAATGATCACCTTTTTTTTCTTTTCTTTCCTGCCATCTATCCTCCGCCACTCATTCATCCCCCCTATACTAGGGTGAACTTTTTCTGCTTACTCTTAAGACATCAAGGCATTTTTGCTACGTTATTTATCTTTGAAAGTCGCGATTGAAACATCGTGCCCTCTCTGGAAAAAAGTTATTCTCCAATGCATCCCCCCCCCGCGCGGATTTCGTGAGCTGCAACTACTTAGAAAGAGCTAAGGGGGCAGTCGCATATGTGTCGGGGGGCCAAGGCAACGGACACCGTAAGAGTCGGAAACCAGTTTAACTTGATCCTGGGGTTGATCCACTGTGATACCCATAGTATCCGCGGTAGCGGTAGAGCATGATACTGCGCGCAGGAACATCTGGCAAGTCCGAAAACCGAGTCAACCTACCAGTGCGATATGTCACGGTGTCATTGGATTAATCACTATATGATATATCATACATCTACAGCTCGGATTCTACCCTTCAGCGAGTGATCATGCATGAGTATAGTAACACACAGGACAGTGCAAGCTCCGACCAGAACCTTGCAAGTCTCCCGGACGGACCAAGTCGGCTGGCGGGAAACGCCGCGGAATGAGCGAACCCACTTCCAGCCATCTTCCATCGGGGCTAAGGACAATTCGGGCAGGAGGAGAAAACGATCTGGAAGTGATCCATAATGTTTATCTCCTCTTTTTAACTTCCACACTTTCGGTATCGGTGAGCAAACAATTTTAGAGGAAACTGTCGGATGGAGCATACAATCCACTGATTCACACATACTGCGCCGTCTTCCGGGAAACGTAACATTTGTACAGTGTCCTGTGTGTCATATTTTACCACGGTATCTGTATCCTAATCCTGGTACCGTAAGTGATGAGCACTCCCGGGTCTGCGAGGTGGTGAGAACGAGGAGGAGGAGAGGATGAATGTATTAATAACAGTGTCCCTCAACACACCGTTCTTGTTCCCAGGCGAATTGTGGCGATGGAAGGATTTTGGCGCGATATCGCTGAAGTGGACGCCCGAAGGCTGCCAGATACTCACGCTGACAAGTCTTGCCAGGTTGGGTTTTAAGGGTGCCTGTATTCCTAACTCCCTTAAATTGCCTTGCCCCCACATGGCTCATCCCCATTGTTCCGGCGCCTCCTGATACTGTTGGGGGATTGGATAAGGGCCACGTTGAGCGCCATATCCTCCCTCGTAGGATCTTGTGAAATAAACTTATCCGTCAGGCAAACAGAGGCCGAAAACCCCGTCAACAGCGCACCTACCATGGAGTAATTTTAGGCTGATGAAGTGGGCAGTTATCTGGCAGTTTTACCAATCCACGTTTGCAGCATTCTAGAGGGCTTTTCAAGAACTTTCCAGCCACCAACACCAAACAGGTTCACACGTCTCCACACTGTGATACGTCCTTCTTTAGGGATATGATACCACGTGTCCGTGTGGAGGGCAGGGAAGGAGGAGTGAGGACTGGCCAGTGCCCGGGGCCCGGCTTTTTTTTAAAAAAGGCACTGTATCATCCTCCACCCCGGCCCCCGTCCGAGCGCATGTAGTTCCCCATCTCCCCGGAGGTCAATTATTTCCCCCTGTGGTAAATCAATCCCGAGAACCTGCGAAAGCCGAGTATTCCGGGAGCATGATGTTATACGGTGGAAAGTGCCTAAAGGTGGGACCTCCGGTGAAACGGGAATTCCGTTGCTACCGATCGGGATTCAACCAAGAATTGCCAAGACATGATTAGTAAGATGCAATGATATCGTACTATAATAATATCCAAAGAATCACAACTCACCCTGGCTAGATTTGCAGTAGTTTTCAGTGCTTTGAATGGCCCAAGAGGATATCTGTAATATAAGTTGATACCTTTCAAATTGTAAAAAGATGTTTATGTCTACAGAGGCTGTCTAACAAGAAACTTAGACCAAAGGAACACGACGATGGCTTTTATATACAACATTGGTAAATTGATCAGTCCCATACCGTAGTCCATTATAGTAAGCATCCAGTATTCGAGTGCTCTTCCACCAATATTTGAGAAGCAAAAGTGGAGGTATTTCCTCTAAGGCCTTTGGAACAGTTTTAACCAATGAGGG